GGCCTTGTCCGACTGCCCAATTCGGATGTTGTTAACGAAAGTTGATTGAAACACAACAGCAGCTGATGGCAAAATTTCCTTTCTTCACTTGCATTTGTTTTATCTGCCATTTAACGCCTTTGTTTAATGGGTTTTTATTAACAATGTTTATTAAATAAACATCACGTACTTCAATTTGCATTCGATCAAGTGCATAGTTAGCACCACTTTAATCATTTAATTGACTCGCGTCTAGGCTGTTTGACTTGCTCAGGCTGCTGAGTCACTCGGCTCTGGCCAAAACCACTTGAAATTCAATAACGAGGCCGTCTCCGTTGGCTCTGTTTTGTTTAGTTTTTCAGTTTTTCAGTTTGTCAGTCTTCGCTTTTCGCTCTTTGGCTGCAAACTTGGCCAAAGACCAAGCTTTATTATTGGCCTCATGGGTTTTTGGCTAATACCCGACTACGGGTGTCATTAGCGCCGCGTTCTGTTGGCTTTGGCTGTGTACTTCCTCATTTCGTAGGCCATATAACTGGGTTTTTGCCTTCCACTTTGTTCTTCTATTTCTTTGGCTGACTTTGACTGCGTTTTTGAGGCAGACAAAAAGGTAAATACTCATTGAGCCGTTCATAATTGAGTCTATATTTGGCCTGGTCACTTAATATTTTAGTCTGCAACTCGAATAATGTTTACCTAAGCATTTAACGCTGTTAAAATGTTGCATTTATTTTGCATTTCACCTAAAACCCCGGAGTTTCTCTTTGCTTACTCGAAATATTTGGCCACCCGGTCCGAAAACCTGTTGCTCTGATGATTTATGCAAATTTTGCAAGATTTCTACTGTAGATTTCTACAGGTCTAAGGTTTGATCTCTGAGTAATTTCGTTCTGGATCAACACTCTCCACTTAACAACTCATTCGCGTTTATCATTAGCCAGTTCATGTTTATTTATACTGGTAATCGCAGTTATTGTGCCATGAAATGGCAGTCGCAATTAAAAAAGGGCAAGGGTTCGCTCTTTATCCGCCCATTATAAAGAACGACTTTATAGTTGTAGTTAGCCATTTGCCTATTTAGTATTTATATTTTATTTTTATGCATATTATTACTCAACTGTTCGGTTTGTGTGCCACCATTCGACTTCAGCTGAGTTTTCAATTTCGCAAGCGGTTTTTAGTGTGCCAAGCCAGAACACATAAAAAGTCAACAATGCGCAACTGCAGATACAGACATCAGTGGCTCAGTTAGAAGGGGCTACCAATAATGTGTACAAAAACCATTTAAGTATATTGCTGGCCATGTATTTAAAACGTTTTTTTTAAAGGGGCTTCAAATGTTATGCTTCTCTTTACCAAAACAATGTTTTTTTAAGTAAGCCCCTTCTTTAATAATTCCCACGTCCGCCCCTGAAAAGAGAATATGCTGAGTTGCAGCTGCTCTAGCCGCAGTATTTATACAGTGGCTAAATGTCTGGTAAAATTTGCTAATATTGGAAGAGGAAGTCAAGCGAGAATTATCCATTTCCATAACTAGCCATGAATGTTTCACTGATCGCATGATGACTATACTGTTTTATTTTGCTTAGAATATCCCATAAATCTGGTTTACCTAATCATCGGGAAATTCTCGATTGCGATTTAGCTAGTTTATTATAAATTTATTTTATACATGCCCTTGTTTGTATTTTTATATAAAGTACGGTATACATTTTCATTCAGATTGAATACAAAAATGTATTATGTTATAAAAAATTGGTTTAAACAAATTAAAAGCTCGACAAAACACATATTTTTAAAAATGAATCAGGAATTAATCGATCAGATCTTTTCTTTTTCTGTGTGGTCAATATATAAACCAAATAATCATCTCCACTCCTTTCACTTTTTCGCATTATATTTTTTAATCAACCAAAAACATAAGTTTGAAAATGAAATAGCGTCATTATAATTTCTTATCTGATAAGCAAATTAATTTATTCCAAAGTGTCTTATTTGTTTCTTTTGGGATAAATATACTTCAATAGGAGAAATGCAATTTGTTGTTTAAATTTCTCCCTTGGCAAAACTAATTTATAAGGCAACTAATTCATAAGAAAGTAATTAATTCTGTAAATTTCTCCCTGGACAAAACTATTTTATAAGTTTGCTATTCCCCAAGAAAGAAGCCAATTTCTCCCTGGGCAAAACTCTATTATAAGCATAGTTTACCCACCATTATGAAACTTTATCTGTAAAGCCAAATCTCAAAGCAAATATCTTTTTATCTTAGAGACCCAGAGAATTCCCTGGAGAATTATTTTCGCTCAGTTCTCGATTCTCACCTGCTCCAACGTCGCACGTTGCTCCTCGCTAATTTCGGGCATTGGGCCGGACATTTTGGTGTTTTTGTTTATATTTTGTTCCAATGCCAATGTATCTTATTTATTTGGATTTATTGACTGAGCGGCGTCTAAACGTTGCCAATTTTGTAAGCTAAGCACACAAAAACACATAAATTTGGTAGAGATGGCGGCCGAAACGGATTTCTTTTTTTTTGCTCCTCACACGCAAAACTAAAACTTCAAAGCTTTTTGCTTTGGTTATTTGGTTTTTGGCAGCTGCGGCTCAGAAGAAGAGATAACAATAAAAACTTTCTACTATTATTTAGCCGTTACGTTAGCGCTTTTAGCCGCGCACATTATATATCCAGCGCAATTATTCTGCGTTTTATTTTTTATACGTTTTGTTTCGTAGCCAGTCAGTCGTTAGACAGTCTGACAGCCTAATTACAATAAGGCAAACTTGGAAAAGTCTCTAACTTGGCCCAAGGCGAGTGTCGCACGCAAATGGGCAAATAGAGTATGATTGCAATGTATCTGTATCCACAGCCGCGTTTGCGTTTAGAATGTTTTGCTTTTTTGCTAGTGATAAAGTGCCGAAGTGTACTACACTTCACGCGACGTTCCGTTCTGTTCCGTTCCGTTTCGTGGGTGGTGAGCAACTGACGCCAAGTCCAATGGCACTGCGCCACTTAAAAGTGGATGAACAGCGGCATTAAGAGAGGAAATTACAGAGAGAGTGCTCTTTAAAGCCAAACAAAAATAGAAAAGTTCCGACTACAAGATACCTTCCACTTGCAACCTCTTCAAAAATATTTAAGTGCCTAAAGCTATAAAAAAATGTGTGTTCGGAAATTCTATAATTTAACATTCAAATACCCATAAATCTATTAAACGTAAAATACAGAGAAGCTGCTCTTTGACGCCATACGGAAAGCAAAACAGATACCTGCTACTATACTGCCCTATACAAAAATATTTAAATACTTAACCGAAATTTGTTTTCAACCGTATAAATACAAACCTATTTCATTCAAAAAGAGAGTGTGCTAGGATTAAAGAATTTCAAAGATTCTAAAATCTATCAAGAACTTAATTTAATTTAAGCAGAAAAAAATTGTTTCATTTCATATGTTTTAAAGTGGATGAACAGCGGTCTTAAGAGACAGACACAATCAAATAAAAGATACCGAAAAGAGATACTGCTCTTAAAATTCAGAGAACAGTTTGAAAGTGATAAAGTCGAAATACCTGCTTCTGCATTTAGGGGATATTATTAAGAATATCATTTAATAATATTATTGGTTATAAACATATATTTAAGGCTAAAGAATCAGGCATTTTTTGGGACTGTTAAGGAGTACCTTTATTTTAATGTTGTAGGATCGAAAACGATTAAATTATAATATTATGCTTGGGAATAATCACCTATACGCCTTTTTATAAACCTATGTTAGCTTATACCATATAACCCACATTATCTAAAATCCAATCTAAATAACTTGTGTTTTCCGTATCTCTGGAATACTGGCTTTGCCTTCTATTATTTACTGCCTCCCGATTAGCAGCAATTGAAACTTATCATACGTTGGCGCACTCAGCTGATCCAGTTATGGGTATTTTCCAATCAACTGAAGAACTTTTCAACTGATAACGATATTTTTTTGCATGCCAAATATAAACATATGTTTGGCAGGATAAGATAAGATGGCTAAGTACTCTGGCCCCACGTAGTAAGTAGTTAATTGTTTTGTAAATTGGTAAACCAACAATTTATAAAACGTTTTTAATTATATACAGTCAATATCAATTATATACAATCAATCTTTTTAAACTTATTTAAGTTAGCAATACCAAACAGAAATGTGAATGAATAGTTATAAAACCATGAGATCTGAAATAGGAAATATCATAAATTTTCATACCTTCCATGCTAAGATTAAAATTTTTATTTGTATAACTTACCTAATTGTATTTATAATTTTTAAATGTAGTTAACAAAAACATTTTGTACACGATGTTTCATTAGGGTCACCCCCTTTTAACACATTTTCTAAAGCTCATAACTTGACTCATCGCATACAGATTTAATAGTTCTCTTACAATCTAAAATAAAAAATTTGTATTATACATTTTATTTAGTTTCCTGTCTAAGCGCATACTTTTATTGAGTTTATTTTAAAACATTTTTCAGCATTTCATGAAAGGATTTAAAATAATGGTCATCCAATTAAGAGACTAATATTTATAAATTATTAAGAACCGTTGGAAAACAAATAAAAATACTAAACAAACCAGCTAGAGGGTCACCCTAGATCCCACCAATAACCGTCTATCGAGTGGAGGAAAATCGCGCCAATAATATCGAGTGTAACGTAACAGGTGTGTGGTGGGTTGACCAGATGTTTATTTCAACTGTTGCTTATTTTGTAAACAATAACTAAACTTCCTCCTTTTCTTCCAGCAAGTGCTCTCCAAACCTCCTGCAAACACCCAATAATGGAAAGCTTATCCCGGCTAGGATTTGGTCGACGAAGGGTCAATTTCAAAAGATTTTGAATAGGTCGCAAATATATGTTAAAAAACCCAAATTAAAGTCTTTCCCTCTTTACAGGTGGGCTGCTAAGGCATATACGACTTTGAGGACTTAATATAGTTGCTACACAAGGAGACCACTTTTAAAGAGCAAGAGACGTGATATTATTTGGCTTTACTACTTTAATATCGATCACCAGACCACCGTGCCGTCCGTGATCTTTTTGTGGAAATCGTACAGACTGGGAAAAACGTGATCTCGGTCGATGTCCTCGCCGTATTTCTTGACTAGATACGCGTAGCTCTTCTCGTGGACCAACGCCGAGTGCCAGCCCACTTCCTTGGCGGCCAAATAATCGGTGGTGGGACCATCGCCTATGTGCAGGCACTCCTCCGGTTGGAGGTTCTCCAAGCCGGACTTCTCCATCGCCTTGTGAAAGATCTGCGCATCCGGCTTTTCGGCCTTAACCTCGTACGAGTTCACGGCAAAGTCCAAGTACTGTTCCAGTTTGGTGTTTTGGAGCAGCGCCGTCAGTCGCGGATCGAAGTTGGCTATCACCCCCAACTTGCACTTGTCCGGCTTGAAGTTCTTGCGGAGTTGCTGAAGAAGTTCCACGCTGCCATTGCACGGCTGCCAGCAAATGGAGGTCTTGTACAGCTCAATCAGATGGTTGGAGAAGTTGTGCAGCTTCTCGTCCGGAATGGCAGCTCCACTCTCCGAAAAAGTGCCTGCGGTTCAAAGAGATTTGGTTAAGGTAAGTGACTGTTTGTTTGTATTCCCAAATGATTATATAAAAATGCTCAATGGAGAACCCCTTGCTGATATGAGTTCAAATAGAGTTTATAACTAACAAGAAATTAGTAAGTAATAATATGACGCTTGTGTGATCTTCGCACGAAAAGAGAATATTAAATTAATCTCTTACTTGTCAAGCGTAAACTTAGTTTGCTAGTGTTATGATACCGAAAGAATCGTATGAGTAAGCTTAGCTTTTCTAGAATGTAAAACAAATGCATAAAACAGTTCAATGGAGAACCTCTTACTGAGATTGATTAGAGTTTATTAAGAAATTAGTATATAAATAATTAATAAGGGAATATTTAATTAATATTTAATTTTTCAAGCGTAAACTTGTTAATGAAGTCGAAAGAATCTAAAAAGATAGCTTAGTTTTTCTTGAATTCTTGGCTTGGAATAGACTTTGTAACAATTATCAAGAAATTATCAAATAATAATTAGACGCGCGAAAAGAGAATATACATATAATAAATCTCAAATTGTTCAGGCTTAAACAAAGTTTTTAAGATAGCTTAGCTTTTCTTCAATATAATTGTTTTTTATACCGGATTTAATATATCTCATAGGTTTTCATTTGAATAAGCGTTTTAATGATGATGGAGCATATATTTTCAATGACAAATCAGAAAAAGAGTGTTGATACCTTCGCTTTTTTCGCAAATTTTTGTTAGACAGAGTTGCGGATACCAATCACATTTAACAGCGATTGTGTCAAATGCACTTTGGAACATGTCGGACTGTGTTTATCATCGAGCAGCAGTGAAGACAAACACACTTGTGGGGCACTCACCTGCTATCAGCTTACGCCACCACTGCTGCCACTCCATCTGGGGATTCGTGTCGCGTCCAAAGTTGGGATAATCCCTATTCATCTTGTACCTGAAAGAGCAGGCCTTAACTCAGCCACTAAACCATATACCATCTTGCTTAGCTCACCAGTTGGCCTTGAAGTTCTTGGCCAGCTCATTGTTGTCGCATCTGGCTCCAAAGAGGGCTCCAATCTCGCCATATTGCTTGCCGGGAGTGGTCCGAAATTGGAGCAGCGTGTTGGTCACGTCGAAGGTGATGAGGCGAAAGCGGCTGAGGCTGCGCATCTCCGGGTTCAGCTAATCTATCTCGCTAGAACCAATCTCAAATTCAAATCCGCTCAAGCACTCTGTTGACTTTCGACGCTCGTTGAACGTTAGCGACTGAACTCTGCCGGCGTACTACGTGTGCTTGACGGCAATTCTGTTATTGTTTTGTATGAAAGCCGATCCGCTGGCTCGTTATCACCAGCAGCAGCAGCTGCTGCCCCCCAGATTCCGATTGCAAATCCGAGGGCTTCTGTGCGCTCGGATGGGATCGAAACGAATCGTTTCTCTGAGCATCGGTTTCAAAATGGTATTGTACCTATAAATCGACGGACCTGCGGGTGCTGTGGTTATCTCTGGTTTCATGAAGTCACATTAGTATCGATTTGCAATTTGCACTGATTACGCGGCTATACAAACATCATTAAACAAGATTGCCGCTCATTCTCTTATCAGTTTCTTAGGCTATTAGGGTGTTGTGTCGTTTTAAAACTACGCGCCTTGTCTCCAGTGTTTGCAAATGTATAGATTTTTACATTGAAACAACTTTACCAACAGATTAGTACATTCTTTTTACCTCAAGGATTTTCGTTATCCCTGAATATATGCTGCAGTATTCAAGTACAATATTATTTAAAAGTTGTATGGAATAATTTAATTTGGTTTGAATGAATTACCGCTTGATATTATGTTTTTGTTGCCCTTCTTAAATGAAAGTAATTTAAATATATTACCAAATAAATTTTTATTTCCCAATATACAACTGGGGTTTAAAAGAAAAGTGAAGCCTTTTCTGTGAAACGATTGAATTCAGAAAATAGGTGGCGGCACCTGGCGGATTCCAGTGGAAACTTTTCCGGAGGTGTGAGACCCAGCTATTAGTCGTCTCCTGTACCTTAGGAATTTCTTTTTGCAATAACTACCAAGCATATAGACTTATGCTTTAAGGAAACAATTAACTAGCCTTCAAATGTTTTAAAATGTTTTTGTAAATAAGAGCTAAAGGCATTTTCCCGATTTTTCACATTTAAAAGTATCTAAGAAACCGCTAAAAACGCACTGAGACTCATTATTTTTATAATGGAACTAAAAGATGGCGCCAGCGTGGCGGGAAATTTAAATAATATTTTTTAATGGAAATTGAAAGTATTAAATTCAATTTATTTTTTAACTTTTATATAAGATTAAAAGTTTGTACCAAAGTAATTAATGAATTGTTGTATGTTACACATGGGTACAGTCAAGTACGTTACATAAATAAAAAAACTGCACTCATTAAATTTGCTTTGGCTGCACCCTGTCTGCATTGGCATTTGCCAATTCCATTCGATTTGGCTATAAATAAATCACCAATTTTGTGCTGACCACAAGCCAGCTTGAGGTCGGATTTCTATGGAAGGGAATTCAGGATTCTTCGCATTCCGCTTGTCAAATTGTTTGTTTCTTTTTATTTCCTTTCGTATTTTTTGCTTCTTTTTCTGTGTCCGTTGGTTTGGAATGGTGCATTTTGTATGGAATGGCATAGCTGCGATTACCAAGAATAAGAATTTCCAAAAAATCCAGCCAAAGACATTGATAATGCCATTAAGTTTAATTTTTCTGACTAAGTCTGCACTGATTACTGTTTTTAAAAAAATTGAACAGTACAAATATAATAATAACTTTTACTCTAAAATGAAAAATTGGATAAAACTAAATTAGAAGATCAAAATAAAAATATATTTAATTAAATAATCTGTTTAATGCTGTGAGTAAATTTAAATTAAAACTTGAAGTTATAATCTTCCAATATTTCCTGTTTTTTGTTATGGTTCTAAGCTTTGCCTATCAGTAAGATAAAAGTATAATTGTAAAAGCTTATAAGTTTTAAAATTGATCATGCTTGAAAATAATTTAATTAAATAAATTAATATTTAAAATAATTAAACTTCACATATTTAAAAAAGAAAAGAAAACAAATTGTGTTTGGGCTAATTGCTGATCTCGTAAACAATAAAAGTTATATGGAAAGGAAAATTGATATTTTGTTGTTTTAAAAAGTAAAGCACTACAAAAAGTACGGGTAAATAAAAAAGACTACTTTTTTAATTGTTTCGACCCAGTTTACCTTATTTTAAAAGTATACTTAATTTGAAAAGTACAACAACTTTTCCAAATAATGCAAATTAACACAATCATTTTGGAATTTTCCGAGCACTTGGGAATACCTTTCTGGAAGTGCAACGCCATCGATTACCACCTACAAAGCTTGTTTGCTCTGCTCTATGCCACCTTATCGTGGCTCTCTGACGGTTGCAGAAAAGCGTACTACAAACTAAAAAAAAAAAAAAAAAATTACAAAAACGGCAAAATTCAGTTACTGTCCAACTTTCAACAAAAACTTTCCCAAGAAAAGTAACCAAGCGAAGGCGAGTCAACGACTCCCCTGGAATTTCGTGTTGGCCCTTTTCGAAATGTGTCTGGCTTGGTAGTCGGGGCCAAAGCTCCTCCGCCCCCTCCTTCCCCCAGATTCCCCCAACCCCCTCCAGATCCACCATATCCCCCGATTCCTCGGTCCTCTTGCAACTCCGGCTGGCTGCCTGACTGCTTTTTAATATTATCTGCACTTTGGGTCTTTGGCTGCCGCCGCTTTTGTTGTTGTTGCTGCTGCTGTTGTTACTGTTGTTGTTCTTGCCGCTTTGATTGGTCGTTTTAACCTGTTTGCGAATTTCTACCATGTTAATAAATAATTTTTAGAGGAGTTTTTAGAAGCAGCAGCAGCAGCAAAAGTACCGCACCAGCAGCGCCAGCGCCATTACACTGAGGGAAAATATTTTTGTTTAACATTAATAATGCTTTTGTAAATTATAGGACCCGAAATATACACATATACATGTTTGAACTATAATTTATGCTTAATTCAGTCTTATTTAGAAGTAATTATATTTTTTATATAATTTTAAATCATATAAAAACAGAACTTTTATTTATTCAAACTTGGAATATAACATTTTTGGTAAAATTCATAATGTGTTTTTAAAGTAAACATTAAAAAAGTATTTGAGAACATTTTCGGACAGTGCATAGGAACTGAATCTTGTGCTGCTGGCAACTTCTCCTGTTTCTCCTGGCACGACAACTCCTCATCTCATCGGAGTTGGAGAGTCGTCGTCGTCGGATTAGGTTTGGCTCCTCCACTGCTGGCACTTCTTTCTGCTCCTCGGGTCCGGTTCTGTTGGGTTCTGTTGGGTTTGTTTGGTTCTGTTTGGTTATGTTGGGTTCTGTTGGGTTCTGTGTGACTTGGAATGCAGCCAGACGGCCATGGGATCCGCCATCCTGCGTCTGCTCGCCCACTAGTATGGCCAGATCCAGAGCCGCCTCCCCAACTCCTGCTCCTGTCTCTTTTACGGCACTGCACCACAAACTGACACCACAACTAAAGGATGTTTTTGTTTCGCCCTCTTCCAAAGCAGGGTTCATTAAGTAGCTAGGAACTTAATGAATAATGAATATGTAACTGGATAGTTCAAGAACGGGTTAAAAAAATATGTTTCAATTTAAATAATATTATTTGTGATTATAATATATGTAGCATATTGTTATTAATGATATTTTCTGATAAGTATAAAAGTAATAATTCCTTTTCTTTGTCAGATATTTGTTAAATATTTAATTAACTTTATAACAATAAATTTAATTTAATTTATGTCGTGTAAAATCACCCATATTTCATCGATTATTTGATCTGTGTATTTTACCATTTAATTAAACTGCTTTATTTATAAAATGTCCTTTACAATTTTAAGCAAAAGTCAAGGCTAAAACACTTGAGGGAAAAATATTAAAAAAAAATCGAATGATACTCATATTTAAAATTTTGTAAACAAAAAGAACATTTAGAAAAATTAAGAGTACATTGTTTTAAGTTAACAACTTTGCAGCATTATTTTTGCGTTGCTTGAGCTCGAATAGGTATTCTGCAGTTTCAACGTGTAAAGGGTATTACATAGTCTGATAAGCTACTCCACTTTACCCACTCTGGTCTATGACCGCTTCACATTCACAGCTCCAAGTTCGTGGAGTGCGACAACACCATGCTGTTCTTGTTTGAAATTCCTTGCCTGCTTTTTATTTTGTGTTTTGCTCAGCGCTTCGTGGTCTCCCCATCAGCATAGCCATCCACATCAGCACACGCAGAAAAAAAATTATAATAAATGAAACCGTAATAACCATATAACGGATACAACTTTATCAGCCTATATAAAACGGATAATTGCCAAGAAAATGGTAGATTTCTAATAAAATGTTCAAGCTTGCAGAAAAATAGTATTGTCCAAAAAAAAAGTTTTTTCTTCAACTATTTAAATTGTAGTTTCTTTTTTTGCATAATTCTTTTTTTTCATTTACTAAGTTATTTATAAAGTTGTTTATAAAGACTCACCTTTCATAGATATTTCAATGTACTATATTCTTTTCTAAATGCACTGCAAGTCGAATCAAAGGCTTTGGCCATTTATTATACCAAAATACCAAAGCATTATTTTCTGAGAGGTAATAGATATGGTGATTAAAAAAAAAGTTGTTAATTATTTTAATATTATTAATGGCCCTTGAAATAAAACAACAGAATGCATGCAAGTTTTGCAAGTAGTAAAATAACAATTTGCCTATGTTGATTTAACATTTGTCCACTTAAAGTAAAATTTTTTTTCATGTAAGAAAAAAAATAATTAAATAAATAGGTAATCAATAACTCAAAATAGTACTTTTTAAGGAAAAAAAAGTTGCTTGTACTATATTTAATTATTCTAATACGATGGGCCTTAAAATAAAAGTACAGAATACATAAAACAAATAAAAAGTAAAAATTGTTCTATGTTTACATATATTTTTTTCTGTGTGCATCTGATACTCCCCCCTGAGCGGGGAATCTTCGCCGTCTTCCGTCTTGGTCAGCATCTTCAACATCGTCTGGCTGGGATTGCCTTGTTTTTAGTTTTGGTTTTGGTTTTGGTCTTGGTTTTTTGTTCGTGCTGTTTGGCTGGGACGTGGATGAGGCTGGGACTGGGGCTCGTTTGTTAAATGTTTGGGTTTTGTTTGAGTTTATTGAGTGAATTCCTGGAAAAACGCAGGAATTTGTCTTTGGTCTTTCTTTTCGGTTCGGTTCTGTTCGGTTTG